ATGATATTTACAAAGTGCAACAAGAGAACAATTCTCCCTTATTCACTCTCTTGTAATTTTTAATATGTAGTACAAGTGCTTAATGATTTATGTAGTTGAAACTATTTGAAAATGTAATAAAATTGATGTGCAGAAGTTTCAACAAAAAGTTATGTCAAGAACACTTGATTTTGAAAATGAGAGAATATAAATTTTGAATTGCTATTAAAGAGAGATGAGTTTGAATTCTGAAAAGTATGGATTATATAGTGTCTTAACACCATTCTAAAAGTGTACAAATACATGAAAAGATGTTATGGTTCAAGAAAGCTTTCAAAAATTCGTTTGCATCAGAATTTTCATGAAAAAGTGTCATTGGTTCAGTGTTAATCAGTTAACCTATACTGGTTAATCGATTACACCTGATACATTTTCAAAAATTAAAGTATTTTTACATTTTGAGAAAATTGTACAAATTGTGGCGGTTTTAAAGTGCTGTTACAGCAGTTTGAAATGGCACAATTTACCAAAAACATTATAGTTAATTTAAAAATAATTTTAAAAGATGCATGCAAGTTTTAAGATTAATTTGAATGATTTTTATGAGCAATTAAGATATATATATATATATATATATATATATATATATATATATATATATATATATATATATATATATATATATATATATATACTTGAATTTTAATGCATATTCAACTATCTTGATTCTTCCATTAATTTTTCAAAACTTTTTGATAATTTGAACTTGATTGTTCTAGTCTTCAAGCTTTGACTCTTCTTTTTGTTGATGTGTTTGTCTTCATCAAAACTATAACCTTGGACAAGAAGAACTCTTTTTCACAATGTCTTTTGTATAGAACATTCCAATTTCAAATAAAACTGAATAAAATGTTGTGTTTTTGATAGCCAGCCTATACACATGATGCATTCATATGTATTTTGAGGTGGCTTACTCTTAAGTGGAAAGAATGTTTCCGAGAAACCATGTCGTGTTACATAAATAGACACCCTATCATAATCACTTCCTGTAAGGTGTCCCGTTTTTGGGAAGCGCATCCATTTTTCAAACGGATCCAGACCCGTAAGATAAGGAACCAGAGCATTGAGAATTGCATTGTAATTTGATTTTTTTTTTCTAAATAACTTTGTGTATGATTTCCTATGTGTCTTCATTTCTTGTATAAGATGACTATGGAAAAATTGGTAGTCTTTCTCTCCCTTTCCGAGCAAACTCAAAACATCTCAAAAACCACAGTTGCCATCGCCTTCAAAATTTACAATCGACTCGATGTATTTGTGCATAAATAGCGTCATCTCTTCAACGTGGATGATTTTCGGTAATGGTGGTGAGGGATATGGTTTGCTAATGCGAGCACCCTTGAAAATAATCTTTTGAGATTTTGGAGTCAAAGAATCCAGAAAGTGTGAGTCAACATGTTCAAAGTATGAAGGAGACCGTCTCGTGGAGTTGTCACTTTGTGTCGGTTTGACTTTTTTAGAGGCGCCTTTTGTTTTAAATGGTTTTGAAGGTGGTTTCAAATCTATTATTTCTGGATAGGAAATTTTCCTCGGTTGCTTTTTGATGTGCAATTGCATTATGTCAACAACTTCCATGAATCTCTTTTGGATCACTTCCCACTCGGTAATGATAGAAATGTTTGATTTTTCATCCTTCATCACACCATAATCATCAAATAGAGCCTTTCCCAATGAGTGTAAACTCCATTCATACGTATTGGTTTTCCAAGCTTCATCTTCTTTGAAATTAAACAAGTACATGGAAAATTGTAAGTCTTCCTAAGTGTACATCCACACTTTGAGCTATCTGAACATGTTTTATTCGTTCGTTTGGCTTCATGAAAATAAAATTCAACACCGCCAGAAATATGTTGCCAACCAACTGTGAATCAAGGATGTTGTCTTTGAATCGGTGTTCTAACACAGTAATGGTCCAACCGAAAGATGTTTGTATCTCATTATGTTGATTTTGGAACATTTGGTTAACCACATCCCGATCTCGACAAAAATCAGCTTTACTTTTTCCCAACCAATTCTTCACTAGCATGTGCATATCAACTCTGTTAGTTATTGTATTGCCAAAGTGTTGAACCTGACCAGTCCATGCACAAACAATCTTCTCTTTAACCAGATCCAGAAACGTGCCTTCATCATATTATACCAAATCTGGATATATCTCACACTCCTGAAATGTAGAACAAATTTGGCATATAATCATTTCGTGGAAGAACTTATTAAACCATTTCATGCATCTATTATCTTTTCCACCATCACACTAGTTTTGACCATTTTCCATCTTCACCCTTGACTTGTTTGGTGCCAACCTTAGGTTTTACTCGACTTCTCACTTTTTTATTTTGTGGTACTTACAAAGTAATGCAGATGATGTAGAAAACATCGTTGTAATCAAACTCATCAGTACGGTGTCGCAATCGTGATTATAACTAGTGGCATATTTTCTTGGTCCTTCAACATAGTCTTGCGTGTTTTCAAAGCCCGTGTAAGGTTGTCCTCTATTTTAAGTCATCTCCGTAGAAGTAACACTGAAAATTTCCGAGAGTGGAAGTCTATACTTGTTTGTTTTGTATGTTGAGTTAATTATGAGCATAGAGAGAAATGTATTAAACAACTTCACATAATCAGGATGACTCCAAAATATATCTCGAACGTGGGCTTTATCCTCACAAACTCTATACCTCGAAACATAGTTTTCGTCTTCCAAATAGCTTTAACAGTTGTTGTATCTCAGATCTTAGTCATCTTACCACCTTTTTGTCTCGAGCACGAACGTTGTACATTTGCTTGATGTTTGAAATGTTTAGATGTATTTTCCGTTTCAAAGATGAGAGTATGTTTTTCGGTGCCACCATGTTTAATGTCATGTGTGAAACAAGTTTCATTTCCTCTGAAACAATGCGACATACAATGGGACAACCGACTACCTTGTCATGCAAGGCATGATTATGTATACTGGAAATCACATTAAATTTTGATGTCTCATTTGCCATATGATATTTGTGCAATTTAAAGAAACACTCACATTTCCTCGATCTAGTGTCATCTTGTTTCAAGTTCCTAATCCTTTGTTGGTACATGCCACTTCTTTCGCATATCATTGTTACATATTCTTATCTTCTATCTGAACCATTATTGGACCTTTCGATTACAACGCCAAACCCCAATTTTACGGCCTCCTTACGAACCCATTATAACATATGTTCACGAATAATATACACTTTATTTGTAAATTGTGCGCGAACATCTACCTCGACAACAACCGGTCGAGCACCCCGGTTTAACATCATCATTCGCTTCATCTAGTTGAACCTCATCATTCACTTCATCTGGTTTAACATCATGCTTCACTTCGACCGGTTTAACATCTGCACTCACAATAGCTTTGGGAAACATATTCGGATGCATCATATTTATTACCACCAATAACAGAAAAGCAATGTTACATTTCAAACAATCAGGACAATCCGAAGATGCACATCTGGACCACACCTAACTCGTCTAAAAATGCATTTCCAGAATTAACTTTTCAGCTTAAAATTAAGATTAATGCAAAGAATGAGGGATACAATAAATGATATTTACTTGCAATTACAACTTGTTTTGCTCTCTTTGAAGTGATGAAATACAATAATGATGTTTTGGTGTTTAAATGTTAATTGAGAATGAGAGAAATTTTTTCAAGGGTTTTGGAATGGTTTCTCGTTTTACCATGAAGAAGTTCATACAAGGTGGTGTTTTATCAACTTTTCTGTTAGGTATTTTCGAAGATGCATTTTCGAAAATATCATTGAGTTGTTATTTAAATCAGTTGCGTGAATAACAAAACCATATAAATGAGTGCATGTGCTATTTTAGAGATGCATCAGCAGATCCACCAAACAACATACGAAGATGTATTAGAAAAGGTTGACATGATTTATGGTGTATCCAGAGATGCATTTATGAACGCATGAAGGGCATTTTCAAATTTTCAATGGTGTAATGTGCACATATAATGGTGGAAAAAGTAATGTCCGACAAATTATTCCTTTACCTTATTCATTTAGTAACTTAAACATCGAAGTGCTGCAAAAACCACCTCCTTCATCTCTTCAAACCAAGAAGAAATCTTAGAAAACAAAATGCCACTGGACATTGTCATTTTATCGGTCTCTAACCTACCATTGAAATATTTTGGTCCAAGAAGAAATCTTACAAAACAAAATGCAACTAGACATTGTCATTTTATCGATCTCTAAGAGTAACACCAGTGGGAGTTTTTTCTATTTGTTCTCCAGCTGGCGCACAGTAGCTAAAAGGAAAAGATGATTGGAGTTGGCCAGGGTAGAAACCCGTTGCATTACAATACAGCGTTGCATCGAATATAATAATAATAAATCCAATAAATAGTAGTAATAGTTTTTGGCTTTATTTCTTTTTTTTTAATATTATTTTCATTATTCTTTTGCTTTTAAATTATCATATTTTAAATTTGCACATTCAAATATTTAATTTTTTTTTAAATTAAAAAAATTAATATATGAGATAAAAAATATGGAATCTAATTTGAGTTCTTTAAAATTCTAGAAACTAAAACTACGTACATAATTATTTTATAGAGACTAAAAACAGCTATTTTTTTTATAGAAATCAAAAGTTGGTAATTCTATAGAGACAAGACATATTTAACTAGAAATTGATTTCATATCGCTGGCCATGACTATTGCCTATCATAGGTAGAACTACACATAACAGCACAAACTTGGTTAGTTGCTTACTTGAAATAAGTTGAAGATAATCTCTCTTTCTCTACTACTTTTCTCATATACAATGGAAGAATTAGAGTTATGTTCTGAACTTCTGTATGAAACAAAAAAGAAAAATGTCTTCCTTAAAAATCAAATCTACGTTCTACCAAGCCCATGAAGTAAAACTATATCAACATCTATATATACATGGACATATCGCAAGACAGACCCATTAAATCACCTATGCAACAAAATTTGACCAATTTTCCAACGTTTCAGACTTTCCAATTTTCTGAATCTCAAAGCCTTCCACACTCTATCTTTCTTAATCTTCTTTGACTTTAATTTTTTCTGAAGCTTCCAATTTCTGTACTTTTTGCGGTTATTCAACCATCTGGAATAATCTTTTCCCTTGCTGCAGTCATGAAAGTCTGCAAGTTCAACATAATCGGGTTCTTTTTTGTGTAACATGCAATCAAGAAACTTTTCCCCGTTATAGGTCTTCTCTGATCCATCCGCAACTACGGAATTTGATCTGAAAAACATAAGATGGTTCAGAGAGACTGGCATTAAAATTCAACATTGAACAGTTTTACGAGAAATTTGGATCATGGAAGCTTATTTCCTCATGGCATTAAAATTCAATATTCAAGGCCTTTTTTAATACAATGAGATGGGTCTAAGCAGCAAGTGAGTTCCTTTCTTCTAGGAGAGGTAATCAAACTATTTTTCCGCCACTTTCTTTGAATCTACGAGAAGAATGCAAAAATTAAAATTAAAAAGCAGACTGCTTTGTTTCTATTGCTGCAGCTGCTAGCCTATACCAACTAGGAGAAACCCAAATCCCGTCTCTCTATGCTATTTCTCATTCCCAATATGCATAAACACCACATTTTTCAATAACAAAATTCTATTTAAAATTGTTTAACTAATGTATGCCCTTTTATCATAACAAGGTTTATGTAATTTATATGATCGGTTGCATAATGATGCTTTTCTGCAGGGTAGATAAAAGTTAGGGAGTGGAGGTTGCCTCGTTACGAAGTTACAGCGGTTGCATCAAAGGGACAACTAGAAGAAATCAAACTCTAGACCGTCGGTCCAGTTTGATCGTGCTGGAGCTAGCCTCATTAGTTAAATGTATAATACTAGTTATGGCAGGCAGATGAGAAAATCTTAAAATCATGGATGATACAGCATAAAAAAGAGATGTAATGTAAGTAATTTCAAAATTTAAACATTACCACAAGTTCCAAGAATAGTGAATATGATATAATTCAATTAAATAAAAAGTAATACTTCGAATTTCTAAATATATCATAACTTCATGAAAGAACAAGACTTCAAATTTTAATTAATAGAAAAAAAAAAAATCCAAACCCACAATTGCGTCCCCTTACCACTTACCAGTACCATTTGAGCAAGCCCGAGTGGCTGGAGAGAATTGAAATAGAAAATTAAGAATATGCAACTCACTTAAGACAACATTTCTGAAGGTCATAAAGAGTTAAGACACAATACATACCTTAAATTATATGTTCGGATTTTATGAAACTCTGCTGCAATTTTATGTATAATTTGTTTACTTCTAGCCCCCTGCAACAATGCATCAATGATTTAGACACGAAATATAACTAAAATTTAATTTAAGTAGTGCATGAGAATTGAAGGCACAACTGACCTTTCCATTTTCATGCAACAAAATTTCAGATGAACAAGAATGCAATGGCGGACCCCTGAATGACCCTAAATCAACTAAATCTCCCTCTTCAAAAATAAACATAGACAGCAGTGCCATAATTACAGATATACACCCCTTTGCTAATACATCATAACCATTGTAAAAACTTAGAGATAGCAAGCCTGAAAAGTGTGCAAACATTGTTGACTTGGAGACTTGGTAATTTGTTTGCTGATTTTTCATCATATTCTGCAGCAAGGTCTGAATGGGCAAACAAAACTTAAATTGTTGAAAAGGGTTGATGATGCTGATCAAGGAATCATATTCATCATGCACAGAGGAACTTCTTGTGGTTTTCAAACAACTTGAATCACCACTATTACTTAGACACTTAATTGCTTGTAGCAGTGAAACACTCATTAACTTCAATATGGACGCAAGAAGATAAATATCTTCGGCACTAGTGTTTTTCTTTACATGCAATACATCTCCGGCAGCATCATGAGAGAAAGCTTGATGGATTATGTAATCCAAGATTGAGGCAGCCTTATCCCGGCATGAATCAACAAATATGTACTGCCTCTGTTTCATATATTTGATGTACTCAGTCAAAAGGTCAGCTGAGTCCAATGAACTATATGATTTTGAAAAGACCTGACTTAGTTTGTTTCGTGTTCCTTCCTGAATACAAGATTCAAAAGTTGGATGACCTCTCACAAACATGGTTCTATTATAGGCACAACTCAATTCAATGCAAAAACTATCCATTTGCAAGCTAGACACATGCATAGAGTACAAGCTGACAGATAATTGAAATGCCGTTACGTAGTAGTTCATATCTAGAGTCAAATTCTCAGAAGATAAGCCCGAATCAATGACTTCAGAAACCAATGAAATTACATGTGTCTGGAACATCTTTGGTGCAGAATACACAACAGGATCAACCAACAATGCCACGGCACTGGCAAGTCCAAGTTCATGAAATCTAAAATCTCCATTCCAATGCAAACATAATCCACTGATGAAATTCTCAAATGCTTTCTTATTAGAAACTGAGATGATAAAATGTGCAGATATCACCTCCAGAACAACAACAATATTTCCAGGGTTAAATTGGCACACAAAAGTCTTTTCACTGTCGGAAGATACAGAATCCACCATCATAAGATACCCTCTCAATGATCGATGTCTTAAAAGCTCATCTGCAAATACCTTGAATAACATTTCCGAGTTTAGAATCATGAATACAAATGAATCATATACACATTTCTATCGGGAAAATCATATAAAATACATAAAACTAACTTCTTATTTTCTCACATCTCCCAGATTCTATCACACTCATTGTAGTTCCAAAAACTAAAAGACTTCAGTAACATAATTACTCATACATAATGTACTACTTTAATAAACCTAAATCCTAATTGCAAGCGAAAAAAAGATGATAAACAATACCTGAAGTACCGCACAGAGAAATGGACGGCAAGAATCAGAGAGTTCCATTTGACCATCAGAGAGAAAGTTACGACAGAGCAGGACCGTAGTTCCATCATGGAGTTGAGTGACATCGACGAAGATGAACGATTTGAGGATGCGAAGAATGCAGCGGAGTTTGTTGATGAAGAAATTCTGGTCGGAGTAGGGAAGTGTCAGAGCAACGAGGGAGCAGCGAAGAATGAGAGAAAGATGTTCAACAAGTGGCCATAACTGGGAATCCGGAGATGGAAGGAATTCAGTCTCTGGCACATGAGTGACCAGAGGGAGAGCGGAGAAGAATTCGTGGAACTTGGCGTTGAGTTGGTTGAAGAGGCTTTCGCAGAGAGTGTCGGTGTCTTTCAGAATTGGATCTTGAACGGTGGTGGTGGTGGTGGTGGTGGTTGCGGTGGAGAGGGAGTGGTATAATCTTTTAGTATCATCCATTAGGGTTCCGACAACGGAGATAGTGGTGGTTGCACCTGTGGTTTTTTTCTTTGACGTTGTTAGATTAAGTTCAAATCAATGTTTTAAAAACAAAAGTGGAGGTATAATTGATTCAACGGATTAAATAATCTAAATAATTAATTAACTAAACTTCGTAAATAAATTATGGGTAATGCTAAGAAAGCAATGGAAAAGACGACGGAGCAGCACACAAGTTAAAAAAGTCATTTATAATAATTTTAGATTGAAAAAATAATTTAAAAAATAATTTTATATTTTAATTAAAATTTATACATAGTTTTTAAAACAATATTTTTAATTTAATTTTTAACTTAGGCTCCAAAGAACAAGTTAGCATTATCCATTGTTAAAAATTTTCTAGGAAATCCACTTCTATTTTTGTTTATTTCTCAATTCAAAAATGACTTGAAGGATTCAATTCATAGTCACGCTTACCCTTGACATGGTTGAATTTCAATTAAGATTTCATATTTATCAGATACCTTAAATATGCCTTTTATTATTCAAATTTTCCATAAAACTCTAATAAGAATATACATGTATTGCTTGCGAGGGAATTCGTTTCATGCTATATAAATATAATCTTAGGAACATACATTTTAGAAAATGAACATTATTGTATCTTATGTGTTTTTTAGATATCATATAGATTTTCAAAAATATCTTTAATTTTTAGAGATTTTTAAAAATATTCTTTAATTTTTTTTAGAGATATGTCTATAAACGTGCTTTAATACATATATTTTATTTATTTTTAAATTACATCTTAATTTTTATGATTAAATTTATTTTGAAAATATATTTTTTAAAAATTTTCAGAAGTATATTTCCAAAAATAACAAATTTTTGATAATTAAAATTTTGAATGTAACATTTTCTTTTGCTACTAATATTTAGTTACTTGAAGCATGAACCAATATTGTAATGTTATTGAAATTCTTATACTATTGGATGATAGAAAGAAAATATTATACTATTGGATGAAAGAAAAAAAATAGCTTTGCTAGAGTATTGTTAAATTTTAACATTTTTATTATACTAGAATTTAAAACAAGATTCGATGGTATCTATGTTTTCAGCATCTAAGTATCATGGTGCCATAACTAATTTTTTCACATTTGTTACTTCTGGAAATATAATTCTAGAAATTTTTCAGAGATATATTTTTGAAATAAATTTATTCATATAATTGGAGTCTGACTCAAAAATGAATAAAATGCGTGTATTAGGTGCATCCGGATATATATTTTCGAAAATTGGAGACACTTTAAAATTCCGCGAGGTGCCTAAGAAATACATAGGGTGCGTTAAGAATTTGTCTTTAGGGTTAGGCCAAAAAAACTCTATTGTAATATGAGCTCAAATATTACTACCTGAACCCAACCCTAGATGAGCTTTGGACTATCTAACTTTAAACGATTTTTTTTAATAAAAAATTAAAATAAAAACCTCGTAATATTTATTATAAATAAAATTAAAAATTAAATTATTTTAAATGTAAAACATTTTTAAATATTATATTATTTTTTATAAATATTATAATGTGTTTTTAAATACATCATATATCTAAATTGTATAAAATAATACTCAGATATTTAATATAAGATAAACTAATAGAATACGTGGAAAGAGTGTTGATTATATTAATGTATAAGATTCAAAAGAGAAAGATTGAATAGAATAGAGAAAAATTTTAGTGAGGTGAGAAAAATCAATGTGTTATTTTTGAGTAAGACAATATAAGTATTAATATATTTGTTGTATAAAAATTATAGCTATACGGGCTTAATGGACTACTCGCGGCCCATATGGCTAACCCTAATGTGTAACGGGCTTTTTAGGGCTGGGATAAAAAAACCCTGAAAAATATTAACTCTAATTTTAAGGCTCAAGCCCTATGATTTTCGGGCGGGGTCGCTGTCGCGATGAAATTTGGATACCAAACTACTGATGAGCTTGAATCTTATTCATTTGCAACCGAACTTTGATTTGTCCAAAGGAAGGGAAAAAGATCGAAATATCCAGATGCAATACAAATGCAAGCTAGAGAGTTATAGGTTTGGGGTTGGTTAAACTTAGGGAAGGTGCTAGCATCCTAAGTTTCTGTAGTACTCTACAGGAACCTCTTATTTTATGTTTGTTTGTTGCTAAGGGTTATCTGCTTAAGGGATGAAAGACCCTAGGGGTTTATTTCTAAGTATACTCGATAAGATATCGCATCTTATGCCTACATATCCTCACGGGAGTGGAATCAGAGTATCTTTAGTTCCCCTAAAGGGTTTGAGAAGATCTTTGACTGTGGTCAAAGTTCCTACGGGTTAAGGGTAGTTGATTGATTGATCTTAGGAGAAAAGATGAGTTGTCATTTTAAGGGAGATTACTTGATTTTAGCCGCCACAACTTTGTAGGAAAATAGTCTTTGCATCGTCTTAAGAGAAGGGCTCAAGCACTCGAAATTTAATCAACAAGTATGCCATTAGCTCTCTTAAGGCAAAGTCCCTTCATATTGATTGAATTGTTATGAGGTAGGAGTTTTATCCCACTTAAGATGATTAACATCTTGTTCTCTAATGTGTTTGAATGGTTTGAATTGAGTTGTTGAATGTGTTTGTCTAAGTTGTAAAGATAAAAGGTCCTCCTATGGGGTAAGATCTATCTTAAAAGATCGACTTGAATGGGATCAAGGATCATATGGGATTATGATGCAAATGTAATGCATACGCGCAAGTTTTACGTTACGCGCAGATTCTTCCTTTGGACGCAATGCAATAATGATAATATAAATTGCGGTAATGATAAATTGCGGAAAGTAAAGACAGTAAAGCAAATCCATACATAAACGCATGAAAGCGCTAAAGTGTGTGAATGGAAGTGAGTGCAAGTGGAGACGCGGGCGTGCACGATTGTATTGAGGGATGTTGATTAATTTTAGTTGAAATGATTTTAAGAGAAATAGTCATGTTAAAGGGTGAATTAGTTTGTAAGAAAGCGTTATATTAATTTTAATTATGAATTTAAACCATGAGTTGATTAGTTTTAATAAAATAGGTTTTAATTATCATTATTGAATAACAATTAATAAAAGGTTATTATTATTATTAATAAATATTTTAATTGAATAAATTATTATGAAAAGAGTTTTTTTGTTGTTAATATGATTTAAAGATTAAAGTTAATAAGTTTGAATAAAAAGGTTGTTATTCGTTATTTAGATAAAATTTATTTTAGATTAAAAAGGTCTTTTATTAAATAAACTTTATTAGATAAAAGCTCAACTAAGTGAAATGATTTTATTAAAAAAGCAAATTGTATTACTTTGATAAAAGGTTAATTAGATTCATTAAAGAAGAGTTATTTGATAAAAGGAAGTTAATTTAATACAATAGATAGATTATCTAGAAAAAGGTTGAATAAAATTAGGTTAATAGTTTACTTTTAAATAAAAAACTGATTATTAAGATTTTTCAAAAAGGTTTATTAATTAAATTAGTAAGTAAGCTTATGATTAAGTTAATTAAAAGTAGTTAAAGGTTTTCTTATAGGTTAATTAAACAATCAGGTTAATGATTAATTGATAGGTGGTTGATTAAAGGATGGTTAGTGGATAATTAGGTGATTAACGGAGACGGGTGGATCCGTTGTGTGCGGGTGCATGGTAAGGATCAAGTGTGTGTCGCGTGATAGTAATCAGATGGGATTGGAAGGTGATGTGTGTGAGGGTGTACGGGAATGTGATGTGTGAGCATACATTAGATTACAGTCTCAACAAAACCAAATCGAAAAAACCTAATCCTAAAACCCTCTCTCCAATTCCGCCGATGGCTCCCTCTTCGTCGTCCACCATTCCATCGTCTTCTTCCTTCTCACTCTCCGTCTTCCTTTTCTTTCTCAGCTTCTTCGATTTCCATTTCCTTCCTCTTCTCTACTTCTCTACACAAATCAAAACAAACAAAGATGTTAAAATGTTAGAAGATAATCCTCACGGTTTGATGTGCTCTTTCCGCAGATCTTTGAGAGTGAAGGAAAAGGGGTGGCTCGCGTTTTCTAGCGATGACGCGGCGGGTGATGAAGAGTGACTCGCGGTGGCGGATATCTGGCGACGCGCGAGGGTTTTGAGGGTGGTGTCGTTGATTTCTGCAAGGTGTAAAGGAGTTTCGCGGAAGTTCGACGGCGGAGCTTAATAGGGATCCGACGATGGTGTTTCACGGCGGGAGAAAAAAGGTGAGTTCTTTCTTTCTACAAACTTTCGCACTTAGGGATTTTCGGTGGATGTTTGTGGATTCTGCGCTTTCGTTACGGTTTGAATCTATATCTCTGCTTTCTGATGTCTTCTCCCTTATATACTTGAACTGAATGCTGCAAATTAAACGATGATAAGTGCTCTTTCCTCTTCTGATTTGAAACTGTCTGAAACATGTTGGAGCTTGTTTGGAAACAACATGGTTTTGTTAATATTTTCAAAATCGTCTTAAACGCCTTGATTGTGGTTTATGGATTTTCCTTTTTAGAAATCTCTTGTGTTATATATTTAATTTCCTCTTAAATGTTTTGCTTCTTAAGGTAGATTGATGAAGACTTCCTCTTGACATTTCCAACGGTGCTCTGTATTTGTTAAGGTGAACTGGAAGTCATTGCAACCCATATGGTGAGTACAGCTTAGGTTGTGGCTATGAAAAATTGCGTTGCTTTTTTGATGCCCACGTGTTCCTCTTCTTCAAACTCTTCCTCTAATGTCTCATTCTAATGACGATCGTTTGCAGGAAGCCAGGGGCTGGTGAGACATTTGCGTCATCATCTACCTCATCCTCGTCTACCTCAATTTTTTGGAAAATTTTATTGGGACAGTTGCAGAATCAAGAACTGAAACAAACTGGCAATGAAGAACTGGTAATGATGCTTTCAGTTTGATAATGAATTTGCTTGCGAGTTTTCTTCTTCAAGTTCATCATGAATATTGTCATATGTTGTTCTAAGCTTGA